CAGCGACATGTTTCTGCCTTGTTTTCTGAGCTAACTTTGACGCACCGTGGAGCTGACCCTTGAATAAGCCAGTGTGGCTTTGCAGCTCATTGCACACCGGTGAGTCGGGACCAGCTGTACATGGATGCTCTTAGCCTGCATGAGGGGGAGGAGAGGACTAGCTGCCCACACGCCGGAACAGGCCACGCTGGCTGGGCCGTGGTACCTGCCATGGGTCAGGTGCGGGTGCACAACTCCCAAAGCTCCTCTGGTGCACAGAGGCCAGGACCATTGCCCTAACGTGATCGTTTTCCAGCATCTGTGGGGAAGATCATTGTGGCCTCCTCAAATTCAAAACCTGCATTATTCCTGGCAGGGGAAAGTTGAGATAGCCTGGACACCTAGTGACACAGTTAGCCTCAGCCTTAGCTAAAGGTATAACCTGTTAAAATACCCTCCCCGTCCATACTTAGGAGGTTGTCTACCAGTCCTGGAATAGCCTCCCTGGTAGAGGCAAGCCCTGAGGGGTTATGATGAGTAAAAAAGCTGCTGAGGATGCCTTTGGCTCTGGAGCTCCCAGGCTGGTAGCCTGAGCTTCCCATCAGCCTCCTCCATGGTCTTCTGGATCACACCAAGCCGTCGCTGCTGGGACAGCTGCAGACCCCATTGCGCTGTGATGGTCTGTCTGCTTCCCAGCAGAGCTGAACATCAGGCGCTCAGGAGGTGACCTGTGGATCCTCTTCCTGTGCTGCATTGCCTCACGTCTTCTGAGCTCTGCTCTGCAGCGAGTGAGGATGGAGACTTCCAAGCAATGGGGCATGAAATTAGCGTGGCTTGATCTCTGCGTCACCTTCCAGGAGGAAACTCAGTTTTTTTTCATCCCATCTGCTTTTCCCATTCACGTCCCAGCCTCCTCAAATAACCAATCCATTAAACACGCTATGCTGCAGACCAGGCTCAGTGCTGTGAAACTTTCTTTTGGCTTCAAGTGCAGCTTGGTCTCTGCTTTGGTCTTTGGGTCTGCTCAAGGGAAAGCCCTGGGCTGCTCTATTCTTTGGTAGTTGCGCTGCTCCGTTCCTACCTTGGAGCAGAATCAGGGCTCTTTGCTCATTGGGAGGAACACTGTATAGCTGGTACAGACGGCTGGTCATGTCAAATCACGTCTACCAGGGAGGTTATTCCTGGCGCTTTTTGATGGGCATCCCAGCTTCCCTTCCTGCTGGTCCCAGGAAGTGAAGAGCCTCTGCATGCAGCAAGC